TGGAGGGAGCGGGTGTCGTGGCGACAGGGTTGAGGAGCGTGTGGACGGTGATGTTATGCCCGGTGGTCGCATCGTTTTGCAGCGGTTGAGACACGGGGGTAGACGGGATGAGAGTATTGCGTCTCGTGTGCACAGACGTCGTGGCAACATTGCGACCGACATGGGGGCACGTGTCACGCGGCAGGACCCGGTTGTCGTGTCAGAGGACGAGATGGCAGATCCTTCCAACGAGACGTGGAGTGACCCGGTTCACGCAGAGGCGCAAACCTCGGTGGCAGATGCGATGGTGACGGAGGAGGATACTGGGTTCGCCAGCGCCGGTTGTTGGCACTGAGGAGGAGACGGAGTTCGGAGGACCCGGTCCACTCCGCCAGGCGCAGACTCGGTGCACTCCAGCAGGTGCCCCAGTCCACTCCACAGGAGCGGGTTTGGAGGACGGCGAGGCACGACGTGAGCCGCCTCCTCACACGAGTGACGGCGGTCTAGAGGATGGAGAGGTTGCACCTACTCCCACTTGTGGACAGGACGGGGAGGACGAATGTCCTCCGACGGGCCACCACGTCGGCCTCGACTGCCCGCCCGGCAGTCTTCCGCGCACCGACGAGTTATTGAACATGGATTCCACCTTGGCATTTCTGCCCGATGTATCGCTATTGATAACTCCCACTTTGGCGCTTGTGGCACCACCGGAGCCTGGTGGACGAGATGACGTGCGTCGTGACAGAGGGTTCGACGAGTTCGGCGGCGATACGATACTACATCCTCCAGAGTCCGGCACTCCCGCCGTTTTTCATGTCGGTGCACCGTGGGCGGTGGAGCAGGGGTTGGCGGAGGAGGTGGCACGGAACCATCGTGGCGGACCGCCCGTCGCAGCGCAACGTAGTCTGGGAGGTTCACTAAAGGCAGCGTCTGGAGATTTTGCGGCGCAGTTATCGGACGGCGTATCATCGGTCCGTCCACCGGACGAGGGCCCGCAGCAAGAGCCACATCGAGGCTCGACGGAGACTTTAGAGGCGAGGCCTCCCGGAGTTATCTGCTCGGACGGAGGCGAAGGTGTGGGCCATGATACGGCGCAGCCAGGGAGCATCGATGCACGACGGTCCATCGAGGGGGGCATCGAGCGCATACGGTCATCGACCACACACCCCAACATTGTTAGGCCCAACGCACATGACGTTGGAGACGCGCACACACATGAGCCTCGACCGCATCTGATGGGGATGCGTGACATCATGCGTCCGCCACCCTCACGCTCCCCTGCCGCTGACCCCATCGCCCACGGGCAGGCCTCGCAGAGCGCATTGCCGACGAGGTCTTTCTACGACGGTGCGGCCATGGACCGGAGGGCGGGCGATATCGGACATGCATCAGCATGCGGACCGGTAGATGTGACCGCAGGGGCGCGATTGATCGGCAACGTCGATGGTACTTGTCACGATTCCATGAGAGCTTTCGAGGAGCAACATGGGAGGCCTATACGGGCCAAGACGACCGATGTCCATGACACCAGGACGGCAATTGCGAGGCTATCACGGGCGAGAAAGAAGGGAACAGGTGCGTCGATTCCGTATCACCGGCGCCGCCCGCATCCTTTTTTCCGCTACAGTGACGAGACCAAACAGATGGCAGCTGCTACAGATGGAAGGGGCGAGGTGGACGGAGGTGACAGAGCGAACGAATCGGGACGAGGTGAGAAGAGACGAGGCGGCACGATCATCATCCACGACGACAGCTCCACAGCCGCTGAGGGTGGTGAGACCACAGGCGCCGACGATCCTGATGACTATGATTACGTCCCGAGGATCCGGACGGCGGACGGAGATGACGGAGGAGGTCGTCGCGTGAGGATGAGGACTGGACCTGGCCCGGAAGGTCATTGCACCCCATCGACACATTTGCCGCCTATTGATCCACGCGCGCGAGCTCGTTCTCTGTTGCGCGGAATGGAGGCGCAAAGAGAGAGAGAGAGAGAGAGAGAGAGAGAGAGAGAGAGAGAGAGAGAGAGAGAGAGAGAGAGGTTTTCGCAACTTTTCGGGAGTCTGTCAGAGAGCGACAATTCGTCGAGGAACACTGTGTGACTGTGTGACTGTGTCACTCTATGTGTTCACTTCTCTCTATCATTCTTTGTTTGGCAGAGGACTGACCGAGATACCTGCCTGTATGGAAAACTCGCGAGAGACATATCTGTAAATATAGAAATATGGGTCCAGTACAACTTCATTTTCCCTACAGCTACCCAAACTGCGAATAGCAGACCCGGGCTACCCCTAGGACAGACAGGCCCTCCGGGCCTATGCTCATAGATGGTCCTATAGCCTATAGCCGGATAGGGTTAGGCCCTAGAGGCCAAAACTGGTCAGTCAATTCGGTAGGAAGAGCGGTCGGTCTAGGCTATATGTACATTATAGATAGGATGGGGACACCAGAGGTCTGGGCTATGAGAGGTCTGATGCGTTGGAGTATGTGCTGCACTGCTGACCCTCCTCAGGAGTAGGGTCCTAGGCTCCCAGACTCCCTGTGGCGATCCAACCATAGCTGCATCTTCTCAGAGATTATCATCGTCTGGACTTCATCTTCATCAGGTACTGTTGGCGCTGAGCTTCTACTTCATCATCTGAGTGGCGATCGTCGATTGGCTCTGGGAGCCTGTTTCACTTTCGCGCAGCCCACTGCGTTGGATGTCAGGGTGGCGCTAGCCCGCTGGGTGTTACCTGGGGAGGCTGGGGTTTAGTAACTTTTGTTGTTGTTTTTAGCTGTTCAGGTGTTGGGGTTGAGGCGCTACCCCTCCGAGGGTAGCGCAACAGGGTTCTGAGGTTGTTTCAGTTGAACGATGCTCTGAGTTCAATAAACATTGTTAATACTGTGTTTGAGTTGTCATATCTCCATTGCTTTCTGGTTGTGAATCTTGTGATCACTCGGTTGTTATCTATGAATGATTGTTGTGGAGAGAATTCACTGAATTATGTATTTTGTCACTTCGCTTCTCTGAGTCTTCCGTTGAGTTTC